TCATTATTGCTCTTAACGTCCCTAAAGTAAGTATAATATATAGTAAAAAAAAAAATTTATTATTATTTACTCAATTTTAATTTATTTGATTTTTATATTATAATAGATATTTATATAGTGGTCGGTTATCTCTGGAGGGTCTTCGGCCGGTAGAAATATTAGACCTTTACTACGCGGCTTCGAAACTTGAAATGAGAGACATCAAGACATTTATATTATATGTGGCGAAAATGCCACATGCAAGTATCTCGAAACACTAATGGTCCCTTTATTAGAAAGGTTGGTTTATGCCACTGCGCAGGGATATATTAGCTATTATCAAGTGGCATCTTTCAATCCGAAATAATCTCCCTCGCAATTACTCCCTTACCATACCACTACATTCTCCTTTGTTATCACCAATATATTTTCCCAGGCATTCTCCTTTATCAATAGTATGTTTAGAATGCCCCATTTTACTGTAAAAAACGGAGATAAACTTTTTTGACAATATTGGGTAATAACAGCAATAATTTATCGCTGTTTGCAAACTGATGGTGATTTTAAGATTTTTTTGTATATTTTAAATCAATAAATAATAGATGAAGTTTTAGTATAGCGATCACAATTATATAGTAATTAGTTACATTTTCTATATTATCATGTATTTATGAACTTGATTATTTTATTTAAAATACTTTGATTAATAAATAATTTTTATATTATTTACGCCTAAATTATCGCGAACAAAAAATTAAATAGTACTGATATTATTAATTATCGAATAGAATGTCTACAGACAAATTTATGTGTATATAAATCAACCAATAAAATTACACAAAATTTTAATAATATAGATGTACTGTATATACAAGTTAATATTTGAATATAAACAAATATCGATATATATTTAGAAAAAAATTATTATTTTTTTTTTAGTGTATATATAATTTGATCAGTATGCAAAGCGTGAGGCATGATAAATACAGAAATAAAAAATAGTCCTGATGATATAGTAAATTGAAAAATTTTCCAATATACAATATGTTTTCTAACTTCTAATTTGACTTCTAATTCCGACTTCTAATTTGAGATAAATAATAGTAATAATATCAACTTATTATTACAGTATATTATTAATTTGGTAAAAACAATTTCTCTAAATATATATATTAAATATATTGAAACATTTTACAATTATTTCAATTTTCAATCAATTTTATTTTCTGAAACATTCTAGACCTGACTATAAGTAAGCAGTTTCACATGATATGATTAGGTTGCATTTCCAGGCATCATAACATCATAATTTATCAAGTCTTTTTTTCACTCATTTACATTGTAAAAATGGATTTAGTAAAAGCATTATTAATCAGACTACAGTTAGTGATGAACTAACGATGCTAATAAATAAGTGATTCGCATTCAATAATTTATGAAGAATCGAATTTTTAGATCACAATCAAATTTTTTTTTTTTAGCATCAATCACTAACCACCAACTACGTCAGACTACAGTATGTATGTATTTCGATTTAATGTCGTCCTATGAGGGATGCTGGGTGGGTACTGTAGTCAGTGCCGTACGGTACCTAATCTGGTTTAACTGTCAGACCTCTCTAGTAAGTCCAAATAATTAACCGTATATTTCCCTTAATCACCAGCTCCGGGGCTCAAACTTACGCTAGTGAAGAAGCTTAAAAGGTAAATATAAGAATAATTAAAATACTAAAAATATGCAGTATATACTAATATGTACAGTATAACTAATTTAGTTAATTACCTATGTCGTAATCAATTCAACTAAATCGAAAACAGCGATGATTTACTAACATGGTATCTTTTTTTTATTACTGTATTAGATCAAACAATTATTCCACGTTTCTATTAATGTGGGGTTTTTTACTATTTATAATCACTAATCAGTGGGCTTTCGGAAAAATACTGAAATAACAAACATTGCTAGAAGCTTTGTTTATCTTTACTAATTTAAAGTAGTGATTATAAGTAGTAAACTTTCGCTATGCCATCATATAAAAACGAAGAATAATTCCTCATTACAGGAGAATAACCCGATAGATCTGGGGGCCCGAAGAGCCCCGAGATTACCCCTTATTCCGCCGTCGCTAATGTCCTAGCACAGGTACAGTACCTAACGAAACTTCTAATGTACGACATTTACATCAACTATAATGATATTTCTAATATAAAATGTTGGCAATATTCGGAAAACGTGGTACACTTTGAAAGAATGACGTAGCTGAGATTCAATTAAGAGACTTTAAGTTCGCAGAATATGCTGTAAATTAAAATAATGAAACAACATTTGGAATGAATAAAGCATTATCAACCAATGATTTCTCTCCTGCTCGGAAAAATGGCAAATTACTGAGTTAAAGAAAATCAACAGTTGCGTATAATAAGACTGAAGAAGAAAAAGGGTTAAAGGTGATTTCCTTGCTAGCTCGACCGAAATCAGTGACGTATCTTGACTATTAATACGATTTGGTGTTACTACCTATGTATTCACACTTTCTTATGATCAGGGAGGAAGGAGTTGTAGCGCATTTGGTGTGCAACCTCTGACCAGTCTCACCTTTAGCTCTTGTATACGTATAATTAAAACGTGACTTCAAATTTATAGTTTTTTCCGTAAAAATTAATAAATTTTATACTGTAACTGCCTTACATTCTATACATGGTCGAGAAGGGGTGCAGTTTGTGTCAATTGATCAGTAACTGTTTTTACCTGATGCAGAAAATATTTATCATAAACACTTTATATTCTAGAAAGTCACGCTACTCAAAATAACTCCGAGTATAAACAAAAAAATCGCCCTTCTAAAAAAGTAGAAGTGCTTTAAACAGCATTTTACGGTGGATTTAATTAGGAAGTTTGTACAAAAAACTTGGATAGTTTGTCGATCATATATGGCTGATAATGTTGATCTCATTATAGTAAAGTCATTAATTGAGAAAAGAAAATCTTTAGCTTATCTGTTATGTCGAGAGAATAATATATGAAGGGACACTGTTTTTGTTAGATTGTATGAGTCACTCATAACAAAAGTTTAAAAATTATAACGTCAATTACACGTATAACTATAGAACGTATAATAAACAAACCAATTTTATAGTCTAAAATAGATTAATCTTTCACAAATTAATTTGATTAAATCCGGACTCAACACTACTCAACATGTAAAAAATAATAACAGGTTCTAAACTTTCTAGACTCTATTCTATTTTCTAACAATGGATTTCATCATCCTACAAAACTATCGTATTACATTATCGTTATCTCTATTGCTTTACTTGGAATGAATTCACTCGTAAATGGTATCAATTGGGTTGTTATTCGACTTCGCCATCACATGAGCCACCACAATTTGCAGGGATAGAATAAAATCAAGTATCAATATTATCATTATCATTATCGTTATCGTATTGTAAAATTTTATAGATACATGGTGACTGTACTACGTATGTTCATTTATAAAACTCAAAATATGTATACAAAAAAAATACTGCATATGTATTATATATGTTAAATGTATAGTTTATTAACGATAGTTTAATTATTTTTTAAAGTTACTTTTTTGACTAATTTTTTTATCTCAAAAAGACAACTGTAAAAATTAAAGTGTCAATAACATCTAGATTTATTCTGCTTTTTAATGCCCACATGGAAATAATTAATTTTAAAAAAAACTATAAATAACGAAGATAAGTACTGCTAAAGCCGAAATAGAAATAAGGCGGTAACCAACAATTTTGTAACACCGGGTATACTGTACAGTACTAGCAACCCTTGAAGAAAAAAATAATAATAATAATTTAGATAAACAAATTAGACTAAAACATTTCTTGTTTGTGCGTACACTTATTTACTCTTTTAATTCTTTTAATACTTTTAATAAGAAATTATTTTTTCAATGAACAATTGCCGCAGTATCATATGTTATTAATAATAAGAAGCTAAAGATAAAAAAATTAAATAATAATTGATAGTTATAATGGTCGTGTCTGGAGGAATAGGCATTGAAAATTGAAAGAAAGAAAGAGATGATAAGAATATGTTGAAAGAATTAATTTATCGGGCTAAAGTATATTCTATTAAAAGTATACAGTATACTGTATTACTGGATAGTAACATAATATACTATGTTTACAGTATAACAGATAATACTAAATTCATGAATAAGGTGAATAGAGAAAACATCCATAATAAATTAAACTCAATTGCGATAAGACTCTTTTTTTAATTGGAACTTATAAAAATACATACATAATATTTTGGCTAGTTTGAAACAAATTATAAAAATTCGTTTTATTATACACATTAGCAAGACTTTATCTACCAACAGGTACGTATTAATTGGTAAGTTATTGCATATTTAGCTAATTACCTAATTACAGCATTTATGAGATTATACGTAAAAAATCGCTTTTCACTCGTAACAGGTAAATACATTCGTACGTACCAGGATTGTCCATTTTCAATAGTATTCAATAGTATTGGTATATTGTATATTATTAGATACTGTAAATCATCATTTATTCGTTATTATTAATTAAATTATATGAATTGTCATTATGTGAATTACATTACAGAATTTTTATGTAAATCTCTGAATCGTAAAAAGACCTAAACATTTCCCTTTTTGCATCTGTGATCAAAATTGTCAACACCTCTCTCTATTTGTTTCTGTTTAGAATTGATACACAATGGGTAACATTGTACTGTTTCTATTTCTGTATTTATATTAGTTTTACGTGTTATAGCAAGACTGTGTTAAGTCTTTTTTCGTGGCTTGGTGATAGTCTTCTTTTCATAGTCATCCCGTATGTATCACATTTGTCAATTTTTTCCTTATCAAAATTTTAATATTCAAGTGACTTACTCGTTATAATATGAAACATGTTTATGTTTCTTGTAATTCGATCATTATGTTGTGACATCATCAATTTTTCTGCACTACAAACTTTATCCTCGACCTTTTTATTCTGCCTGAACGCAGAATGTCCGGTACTTCTGGTAACAACTATCCTCAGAGGCAGCATCCTTCAAATCTTATTGACCCTTTCGACGATTCTGTCGAAACTTCCCAAAGTACTGACAATTTGTCAGTCCCGCAAGCTGCTGCTATACCATCTTTTAGACCTTACTTCTCTCAAAGTGATAACACTTCTTTTGACCCTTACTTCAACGATTCTATCGAGGACGACGAAGAGCAGGTCCCTTTGTATTCCGAGTCTGCGGGACTTACGCGTCAGATTACCAACATGTCCGCTTATTCCGAGGCAAATCTTCCCCTTACCTCTGGCAACATTTCTCCAACCGCTTCTGTAGGAGTTGGCGAGCACACTTTCATGAGTAGTAAAACTGAAATGTCTAGTGGTGACGAGAGTCCTAACGGTAGCGGAGAGCGAATAATACATATTAATTCCCCAACAAAAAATTCTCAAAAATTTCTTCATAATAGAATTTCAACCACTAAATATAATGCTTTTACATTTTTACCAAAATTTTTATACGAACAATTTTCAAAATATGCAAATATGTTTTTCTTATTCACTGGTAAGTATTTTAATTATTAATTATTAATTAATTAATTATTAATGCTTTTTTTTTTTTGAACTATTAATAAAAATTTACTTGAATTCATCAATTTTTCTTTTTTCTTTCGCAATTCTTAATTTTTAGCTTGTATTCAGGTACTGTAAAAACAATCTTGTTAATTTTAATTCATTATATTCATTATATTAATTCAATGGGCTAATTCAATGCGTTGGATGTAATTTTTGGATTTTTATCTTCCTACCTTCCTCCCGAAAGATTTAATATAAAAATTAATTAGCCTATTGTATTTTTATGAAAATTATATTGACAATAGTAACTAGATATTTCAAAAAAAAAATTATATATCTAAACCTCTCTTTCCTTTTTTTTTTCTTTTGTTAATAGCAAATTCCATTTGTTTCACCAACAAATCCATTTACTACACTTGGTACTTTAATAGTCGTGTTGGCTGCTACTGCATGTAAAGAAATTTTGGAAGATTATGTAAGTGGTGAAATTTTGTTAATTTTTTTTAAAAAGTTGCTCTGCTGAATTTTTTTTTGTTTGTTAAGAAACGGCATCGTTCTGATTCTGAAGTAAATCAAAGAAAATGTAAATATCTTGATCTTTCAGAAGAGACATATGTAGTAAAAGAATGGAATCGAGTAAACGTTGGTGATATTATTCGGGTTGAAAGTGGTGAATTTTTTCCTGCTGACTTAATATTACTCAGTAGTTCTGAACCTGAAGGGTTATGCTACATAGAGACAAGCAACTTGGACGGGTTAGTTTACCCATTATATTTATAGCTCAAGGTTATTCATCTTTATATAATATGCAAGCTAAAATATCGTTATCTCGATATTTTTTTTTTATTTCATGGCTTGCATTGATTATTCCTTATAATGTCCCTTTCTCATGCAAAAAAAATTATTTTATTTCTTATTTATTTTAGAGAAACAAATTTAAAGATAAAACAAGCTGCGAGCGAAACAGCACATTTTACTTCTCCAATAGAAACTAGCCGTTTAGCTGGATATATTAAATCCGAAACACCTAATAATAGCTTATACACATATGATGGTTTACTTGTGATGAGTACTCAAAGTGGTCAAAAACGTGTTCCTTTGGATCCAACACAATTACTACTTAGAGTGTGTATCTCTCTTAGATCATCTTCAAATTATATATATTCTATTTCTTTTTATATAATATCAAATTTTTTTTTTAACTATAGGGTGCTCAATTAAGGAACACTTCATGGATTTATGGTATTGTCGTTTTTACAGGCCACGAGACAAAACTCATGAGAAATGCCACGTTTGTATTATTATCTATTATTTTTATTATAAATTACCTTAATTTATTTTATACCTTATTTATTTGTTTTATTTATCTATTTTTTTTAGTGCAACTCCTATTAAAAGAACTAGTGTGGAAAAAATGGTCAACGTCCAAATTATTTTCTTATTTGTTATTCTTTTGACAATGAGTTTAGCTTGTTCAATAGGAAGTGCTGTAAGGGCTGTAAGTTGGAAATTTCATTTAGTCTATTTATGAATTAAAATATTTTAATTTAAAAATTTATTAATTTAAAATTTACAATACATGAAATATATATATCAATTTGCTAATATAGATGAAATACAGCGATGAAATGACATATTTACCTCTCACAAACACCAATATTGTCACTTCATTTCTTTTTAATATTTTGACATTTATAATATTGTTTAATAATTTAATTCCTATAAGGTGAATATATATATATATATATATATATATCATTTTAATTTATTAATCAAATTAATTTCTCTTTTTTTTTTTTAATATAGTTTGATTGTCACAATGGAGGTCGTCAAATTCCAACAAGCTTTATTAATTAATGATGATTTAGATATGTACTATGAAAAGACCGATACCCCTGCTTTGTGTAGAACTAGCAGTTTGGTTGAGGAGTTGGGTCAGGTAACGTGTATGTCCGACTAAATCATCGAATATTATTTATTTATTTATTTATTTATTTTATTTATTTATTTATTTATTTTATTTATTTATTTGTTTATATTCTTTCTCTATATTATAGATTGAATATATTTTCTCAGATAAAACCGGTACTCTCACTTGTAATGAAATGGAATTTAAACAATGCTCTATAGCTGGAATGGCGTATGCTGATCAGGTTGAAGAGGCAAGGCGTGCCCGTGTTGTTGATGGTGTTGAAGTTGGATTTCATGACTTTAAACAATTAAAAGAAAATATAAGAAATCATCCAACAGGAAATGTAATCAATGAATTCTTGTCACTTCTATCTATATGCCATACTGTTATTCCTGAACGTAAAGATGACAATCCTGCCAGTAAGCTTTTTATTATTCATTATTTATGTCAATATATTTTATAATGTAATATATTCGATCGTTTCTTTCTTTTTTTAGATATTGAATACCAGGCTTCATCCCCTGATGAAGGTGCCCTTGTTAAAGGTGCTTCGGATTTAGATTATGTATTCACGGTAATTATAAATTATTTATTCCACAAACATGTCATTTTTATAATCTATTCATAGTCATTTATTTTAATAGACGCGGCGACCAAAATCTGTAAATGTACGAATTAATGGTGCGGACCTTGAATATGAAATTCTTAATATTTGTGAATTTAATAGTACACGTAAACGTATGTCTACAGTTGTTCGTGGTCCAGATGGAAAAATAAAATTGTATTGTAAAGGCGCTGATACTGTAATTTTGGAACGTTTAAGTGATGATAATCCATTTGTTGAACAGACATTACAACACCTTGAAGAATATGCTACTGAGGGACTTAGAACTCTTTGTATTGCAATGCGTGAAGTTTCAGATGAGGAATATCGAGTTTGGTCTACTGTACACGAAAAAGCTGCTACAACTATAGTAAACCGTCAAGAAGAACTTGATAAAGCTGCTGAAATGATTGAAAAAGATTTGTTTCTTTTGGGTGCTACCGCAATTGAAGATAAATTGCAGGATGGCGTTCCAGAAACAATTCATACACTTCAACAAGCTGGTATTAAAATTTGGGTCCTTACAGGTGATAGACAAGAAACTGCTATAAACATTGGGCTTAGTTGTAAATTAATTAATGAGGAAATGACTTTAATCACTGTCAATGAAGAAAGTCATTGGGAAACAAAGGAATTTTTGGAAAAAAGAATTCATTCAGTTAAAGGTCGAGTTAATCCAGATCTTGAAGTAAGTTTATATATATATATATATGTATTTTTTTATATAAATTTTTTTAATCACATAAATAACGTAAATATAGCCTCTTGCTCTTGTTATAGATGGTCGAACACTTACATTTGCTCTTGAAAAAGATATTGAAACGACTTTTCTTGAGCTTGCTACTATGTGCAAAGCGGTTATTTGCTGCAGAGTGTCACCACTTCAAAAAGCTCTTGTTGTAAAACTAGTGAAACGTCACCTTAAAGCTATTCTTCTAGCCATTGGTGATGGTGCAAATGATGTTCCAATGATTCAAGCAGCCCATGTTGGTGTTGGAATTAGTGGTCTTGAAGGAATGCAAGCAGCTCGTAGTGCAGATGTATCAATCAGTCAATTTAGATATTTAAAAAAACTTCTTTTAGTTCATGGTGCATGGAGTTATCAAAGATTAAGCAAATTGATTTTATATTCGTTCTATAAAAATATAACATTATATATGACACAGTTTTGGGTAAGTTATCTAAATATATGTTGATATTTAATACTTTTTACATCAATCAACTCATATTTCAATTTATGTTTAAAAGTACGCATTCCAAAATGGATTTTCTGGTCAAGTAATTTACGAATCCTGGACTATCACATATTACAACGTTCTATTTACTGTATTACCACCGATAGTTATGGGTGTATTTGATCAATACGTAAGTGCAAGAATGTTGGATCGATATCCTCAACTGTATTCATTAGGTCAAAAGAGTGAATTCGTGAGTAAAACAGACTTTTTTTTTATGCCAGTCAGTGTAAAAAAAAAATTTCATTATTATTATTATTAACTTTAATTATATTTTGCAGTTTAATGTAAAAAATTTCTGGGGATGGGCACTCAATGCCTTTTTCCATTCTCTGGTAAGATTCGTTGGTCATTTCCTTTAATTTTTTTTTTTTTTTTTAATTAACAAAATGCTCTTTGTAGATTTTGTATGTAATATCAATATACGTTTTTCAAGATGGTTTGGTTTTAACCGACGGACAGTTGGCTGATCATTGGTTCTGGGGTACGGCATTGTATACAGCAGTTTTGGCAACTGTTTTAGGAAAAGCTGCATTAATAACAGAGTATGTAATTGAAATTTATTTTTTGATTATTTAATTAATTTTGATTAATAATATTAATTTACAAAAATTTATATAGCTTATGGACGAAATACACATATATTGCTATTCCTGGATCATTTGTTTTTTGGATAGTTTTTATTTTTATTTATGGAATGATTGCGCCAAGATTTAACATTTCAGAAGAATATTTTGGTGTTATTCCTAATTTATTCACAAGTCCTATATTTTATTTATTCATCGTGGTTGTTCCAGTTATATGTTTATTACGAGATTATGTGTGGAAATAGTAAGTTTTGTTTATTGATAAACAAATATACCTTATACGGTAATTATTTATTTACTAATATTTGTTTGTTTATTAGTTTAAAACGCATGTACTATGCAAGGACATACCACACTATACAAGAAATCCAAAAATTCAATATTCCCGATTATCGTCCACGTATGGAACAATTCCAAAAAGCGATACGAAAAGTCCGTGCAGTACAACGCTTGCGAAAAAGTCGTGGTTTTGCATTTTCTCAAAACGAATCTGGTCAAGAAGCACGTCTTATCAGGGTATACGATACTACTATTTCGAAGCCAAAGGGTTAAAATTTTTTAGTGTATTTTTCAGGTTGGGATTAAGTGATCGTAGACATATTTTCATTTAGTATTATTAGTGATAATAACTGTATAATACGAAAAATCTTGATAATCCTATCAATTTATTTGTTATCTAAAAAATAATTTGTAACTATTCGTTTTTCTCTTGTTTATTTTGTATATTATGATGAAAATTTGGTTTTTAATCCACTCTTAAATTAATTTATATATTAAAAATTTGCAATAAACAGTTTTTTTTTTTTTAACATTATAGATATTTCTTTCTATTAAAGTTAAATTTGTAATATCGAAATATTTATAAAATATTTATTTCAAATAAAATCTTTCAAATAAATCGAAAGACTTTTTTTTTATTTGGTCGCCTTCTTTTAATTAAAGTCAGAGACTGAGAATATGATTGTTAATACTGTAATATGAAATGAAATTTATGTTTTATTTTACATGTTATTCTGAAAATTTTTTTATTTTTTTTATTTATCACATCATTCCTCCCATTCCTCCCATTCCTCCCATACCAGCACCAGCACCAACACCAGCACCTTTGTTTTCATCTGCAAATCAAATAATTTTAGATTGGACTCATTATATAAAACAAAGAAAAATGTCAAAACCAAATTTACAAACCTGGTGCATCAGTAATCATGCATTCTGTTGTTGTTAGTAAACTTGCAACTCCAGAAGCATCAACAAGTGCAGTTCTTACGACTTTTAATGGATCCACAATACCACGTGTAATCATATCACCGTATTGACTAGCGGCAGAATCATAACCATAATTGAAATTATTTTCTTGTTCATCTAATAGTTTACCTACAACTACTGAACCTTCCTCACCGGCATTGTCAACGATGGTTTTCGCAGGCTTTTGAAGAGCAGTTTTTATAATATTTACGCCTAATTGTTGATCAAAATTTACGGGTTTTAAGGAATCTAAACATCTGGTGGATTTCAAGAGGGCTACACCACCACCAGGTACAATTCCTTCCTCAACGGCTGCACGTGTGGCATTCAAAGCATCAACAAAGCGATCTTTTTTTTCATTAACTTCAACTTCTGAAGAACCACCCACACGAATAACAGCAACACCTCCAGATAATTTTGCAAGTCTCTCTTGTAATTTTTCTTTTTCATAATCAGAAACAGTCGGATCATTAATGGCAGCACGAATCTGGTCACAGCGCTGATTAATATATTCTTTAGGTCCTTCACCATTAAGAAGAATGGTATCCTCTTTTGTAATAGTAACAGAACCTGTAGAACCAAAATGTTCTGGTGAAGCACGTTCCAATTTTATATCCAAATCATCAGAAAAAACGGTACCGCCAGTCAAAGTTGCTAGATCACCAAGGATAGATTTACGATTATCACCAAATCCAGGAGCTTTAACAGCAACTACCTGAAGATTTCCACGAAGTTTATTCAATATACAAGCAGCTAAAGCTTCACCATCAATATCCTCAGAAATAATAAGAAGTGGTCTACGTTGTTGAGCAGCAGCTTCTAAACTTGGAAGAATATCTTGTAATATAGAAATTTTCTTTTCGGAGAGAAGGATAAGGGGTTTTTCAAGTTCAACTTTTTGAGTTTTAGTATCAGTTATAAAATATGGAGAAATATATCCGCGATCAAATCGCATTCCTTCGGTTACTTCTAATTCATCTTCAATTGTTTTTCCTTCTTTTACAGTGATCACACCTTCTTTTCCAACTTTTTCCATGGCATCAGCAATAAGTTTACCAACATGTGTATCACCGTTTGCGGATATTGTTGCAACCTATAAAATATAAGTTTTATAAATCATTTGAACTTTTATTATATAAAAAGGTTTGAAATTGATATAAAGAATAATACCTGGGCGATTTCTTCACTCGTGGTAATCACTCGACTGTTATCCCTTAAAAATTTAACAATTGCATCCACGGCCAATTGAACACCGCGACGAAGATCCATCGGATTACAACCTGCAGCAACATTTTTCACACCTTCAACAAAAATAGCACGAGCAAGAACCGTAGCTGTAGTCGTACCGTCACCAGCAACTTCATTTGTTTTATTTGCAACATCTTGAACCAATCTGTTAACATAATAAGATTAATTACGATAATTACGCGTAAGTTATTGATTAAGGTTACGAATGACGTCTTTTATGATCGGTTTATGATCGGATAAGCTTAATAAAGCCTTATGTGCTATACTATTTTTATATCAAGTGATAAACGCGCAATTTTTGACCTTTAACACGTTAATTTAATTAATTTATTAAGTATAAATACATTTTCCTTTACCTGGCACCAAGATTTTCGAACTTATCTTTAAGTGTTATACTTTTTGCAACTGTGACACCGTCCTTTGTTATTTTAGGACTACCATAAGGTTGTTCAATCAACACGTTACGCCCTTTAGGGCCAAGTGTAACTGCGACCGCCCTTGAAAGAAGTTCAACACCTTGTACTAAAGAAGCTCGCCCTTCAATACCAAATTTAAGTTCTTTATGAGATGAATAATATCGCGATAGTACTGGCGTTCGAGAACTTTTAGATAATGCAGTAAAATATTTTGGAATAGAAGTAGTTTGAGGCTTTTTAATTGAAACGCGCAGCATCATGTATAATTATAATATTGCTCAAATAAAAATATCGTGAATAGTTAAAAAAAAGATAAAAAAAAAAGCAGCGATAAAAAATTTTTGAGATTATAAAATAAATTTGAATTTAATTGGCCAGTGATAAAAAAATTTTTTTAGATTGTTCCATCAAATTCTACGCATTCAAAATACTCGTGCTATCGGAACAGTCACGATGATTCAGATTATAATTCAGATGGAAAATTGCAGAAGGCCTTCACGATAATTTTATATTGTTGTTGATCTTTCTAAAAACTTCTTTTACTTTCCATGAATAATAAGACTTTTTTATATTTCATTATATTTCATCAGTGATTGGTAGCATTCGTGAAAAAAAAAATCAGAGAGATCTGATCCATCTACATATAAAAAATTTTATCATATTATCATATTCACTAAAATTCTAATTAACTGAACTGTTTCTCAAGCATATTATTAAAAGAACGACAATGGCACGCGTTAACTTTCTTTGATTAGAGCTTTATTAGTCAAACTTCTTTTTTTCTGATATTTTTCTCTTTTTCTTTTGTTTAAAGTTTACTGCTGTTAAAAATGTTAAAGCTATTGTTCCCCTCCTTGATCGCGTACTCGTGCAACGCATTAAATCACAACAAGTAAGCTAAGTAAGCTATAATAAATTGTTTAATACATTGAACTTTTCAATAAACTCAAATTTTAAATATTTTCGTTAGAAAACTGCTGCTGGTATTTTGATTCCTGAAAAATCACTAGAAACACTGAACGAAGGGAAAGTTATAGCAGTAGGTAAAGGTGCTCTTGATAAGGTAATGCGAATAATAAAAATATAATTTTGTAGATAAATTATATCGATGAAATTATTTATATCAAGATCACTGACACGTAATTTTTTATCGCGTATAATGTTCATATGAAAGGAAGGAAAACACATTCCAAATCAAGTAAAACCCGGAGATCGTGTGCTCCTTCCATCCTACGGTGGGAGTACCCTTAAAGTTGAAGAAGAGGTAATGAATTATATGGTCTTTATTAAGATTATTCTTTAAGATGATCAAAAACTTATTTCTATATTGTTTTTTTTAGGAATATTCCATTTTTAGAGATTCTGAAATCTTGGCCAAAGTTGATGAATAATATTGTTGCAAATAAATTAACGAAAATATAGTAAAATTAATCATACTGTCGTTTCATAATCAAACTAAGAAATTGCAAAAATAAATAAAGAATAAAAAATAATAAATAAATATAAATAAATAAATAAATTAGAATGTAAAATAATGATTTAAAGAAATAATAATTAGTTTTATGCGTGTCACTACGTACAGTACGTACCACATTTAATATCTAATATCTGATATGATACGCTCAATTAACAAATTATATCAAGGAAATCCATCATAATTAACACTTACGAGTTGATAAGCATGAAAATAAATAGTATTTTGTGCTTCCACATTTATTAAATTTTACATCACTAATATTGGTTATAATTATTATTATTGCAGTATTATGCGAATTGATCAACTACTAATTAGCCAATCAAATACATTTGTTATGCTTACGTATCAGCCACAATTTTCGTTTTACGAATCTTTACATCGTGATTTCATAATGAAATTTCTCTAATTTTGATTGGCTAGTTTCTTAAAATTGTACGTGTTTGCACCTATCATAGGTATAAGAATTTTCGACACAAATTTTCATGTTAGTGTTAGTATTTAGGGTTAGGGTTAGGATTTGGGAAGAGAGGTTTTTAGGGGCGTAGAACTTAGGGCATCTTGCATTGATTAATTAGTATACATACCACATGTGCGTTTTAGTAAAAGTCAAGTATATTTTGAAACTATTACACTTATTATATTTCGTTTGTTCTTTTTTTGCCAACCGGGAATGCTTTGGGTATGTAAAACGGTAATACGAATAAGGTTAGATTTTTTAAACAAATTAGGAAAAAAACTCTCCGTTTTTTTTAATACGTATTCTGATTATAATAAATTACCCGGATAACCCGGGTAATTTAATAATACCCGGGTAGGGATTTTTTCAACGGGTCCAACCTCTAGATATAGATTAATATATATTTAAATTTGTAATAAAAATACCCCGTGATCTTGATATAGTGATCGGGGTATTTAAATATTAAATAGATTAAAGATTTTATATACTTGTTACAGAATACCGCCCACCCATCCTCCATGTGAACTTATATTCTTTAAATATTAAAAAAAAATACTGTATTAAAAAATTGGATACTGAAATCAGATACTAAAAAAGGCTACGTATAATAAAAATTTTTAGCCACATTATATTTTTGTTAATATAATTTATAACAATGGAAAATCTGAATACATAACATACATACATAAAGAAAAACAAAATTACTTCAAAAAGTGGCATATCTTTAAAGGATGGAAGCACAGGTGTAAGGTTTGTGAGGAGTGCAACCATCATTCACACCTATATTGCAAAGCATGCAAAGAAGTAGTGGATGATGAAAATTCTTAAAAATAAATCTGAATAAGAGATAATTTGTCTATAACAAAGATATTCTTAGAATAAATTCCCAAAGCTTATCATTATAAGAGTATGTAGAAATTGACAGTTTTTCATTTTCTGGAATTAATACTCTATTTAAAGTTCATGCCTTTATTTTTTTTTGTAAATTCTGGGTTGAAATCTTTTCTGCCCACAATGTATGCATGTATGATGGTGCAGGAGATGAAAAATCGAAGCCAAAAATAGTTAGACAACTCGTGATGCATGCGTTCATATTTTATAGAAATAGAAATTGTCCTTGATATAAGGTGTATGCTTTTGTTTATACATTTCAAGTTTCAAAGATGGAGGAAAAGCATAAAAGAGCAGTATATCAAAAAATTTTCAGTTTACTATTTCTTGTGATTTAATTCAATCTTTTTTGCTTCTGAAAATGGAAGACTTTTAGTTTCATACAATCCTACCTCAACCATTAATATTGTAATAGCTCTCTATAAATAATTAGAAACAGGAAAATAAACTAATAACAAAGAAAGTGAATTAGATAATTTTATAAATACTCTTCAGAATGCAAAAAATTCTATTCTTATAGAAGATGGTGAATGATTAAAAGTACTTAATGGTTTTGGAAGTGGTAGTATATTGAAGAAAAGTGTAAGTAACTATATTCTTTTTCTGCAAAATGAAGCAAGTTCCAGTTTGGATATGATATTATATTTAATTAATAGTTGAAGTATATAGTATTATACATTCAGTGAGCCATGCTACGCCTCCACATTGTGGGCTTGTAGTGTAACTAATTTCATGAATTATCACCTATGAATACTACTAAAATTACTTCTTATGCTGACATTTCTAATTTCATATTATGCATTAGTTGTCAATTGAATTCTATTTGTAAATATAAGTAATGGATTTTAAATTTTACTTTAGGCATCTAAGGCATTTAACTATGTTTGCAGTCTGTTACAGATGAATGTATTAGTAAGTAATAATTTAATTTAGAAGACTTAATAAGTTTGATCTTCTACTTCATACCCAATAGAAAGTAAAAGATTTTTGGGTAACCAATACAAAAGAAAATTTTGTATCACTTAAGCGAGATGTATATAAGATTTGTGTATATAATCATTTTTAAAGAATTATCACTTTGTTAACTGATATATAATATAGCTTGCGTTATCAAACCTCAATGAGGATGAAAACTCCAACAAGGATGAAAAATCTATGTGGAAGAATATCGAAAATAAACTTGAAAAAATACAAATAGAGGAACTTGGATATGATTATCCATTGTGTTCAAGAATTTTGGATGATAGCTCAAAGCCTTTTACTAAATTATCTGAAGAAGACAAAAAAGTCTTTAAGGCTCCAAGTACGAAATTTTTAATATACTATAATGAACATTAAAGGGTATTTATAAGAAATTTGTACTTGGAAAAACAAAAAAGAATCACGATGAAGAATATGATGATGCCTTATATGGGGAATTTTTAGATTGACCTAAAAAGTTAGAAGAATTAACACATAAATTTTTAAAGACATTGTAAGTAATCTATATTATTATTTTGTCATTTAACAGATATAATAAATATCTATATCTTTTAGGGATTGGTATGGGAATCTCCAAAATGGAAATTGTATAAATCTAATAAACTTATAATAAATGAGGGGTCGTTTGTATGTGAAATACTTTCACTATTATTAAATATTGCTACAACTAACTTGCTAGTAAATGCTGAAATATGGGGTATATGGTAAATATTATGATTTTAGTGGATTAATTTTTAAGAATAGTAACTAATAGTACTTCAGACTAAATTAATTTCTAAAATTCCAAATACAGTATTTCACTAACAAGAAATAATTTCGCTGAAGCTAAATAATTTCGGTTCAAACTGAAGAATATATAGTAATTTGCACTTTTTGAAGTCCAAAAACATTTCAACAGCGTAAAATAATTTTATTTGAACAAAATATTTCGAATTCACTCAAAACACTAGTAACTGATAATGATATTTTTCAAATTCATAGGGTGATGAGGCAAGTATAGCCAGCACTGAGAGAAAGAGCTTGAAAAAAAAAGGCATAGCACACAGACTTTACTGTAGTTTTAATACTGAAGAAAAGTAGAATTGAAACTGGGTATCTTGAGACTGGCAGACCAAATTCTTTATAGGACAAGCAAAAACACAATCATAGAAAGAATAGGTTGGCAAAAAACTCTATTGATTCTATAAGAAGATTACCTAAAACTAAAAGAGTGTTCAGAAGTATGATAGTAAAGATGATGAAAATATTCACAATAAATGTTGCTAGTATGTATAATGACATACAGTATTATATATTTGAATGTTTCTAATATATGTTCTTGTAGGTGATACGTTGGAAGTTCAATGTATATATAAAAAGTCAGTGATTTATAGTTGTTTACTTGAACAAACAAAGATCCCATGGAGTATCACAACTTCAGAAGATGCTTCAAAAGATATATACTCTTTGGTCCATACACTTTTGACATTTAGGGTTGGTTCTATAATATTATTAAATTTATTAAAATTATAACTCATTACATTTTCATTTATAGACTGCAATTGCATGCTGTATACGTAAACTACAATATGCTAAATGGAATGAATATAATAATGATTCTGATGAAACCACATCAACGGTTTCAACTCCACCAGGTTCGCCATCAAGAACCAGAAAGGTAAGTGATTTAATCCCTCACTTACGTGAAGATAGAAGATTAAAAAAGAAAAAAAGGGCAAATTCCCGGAATGTATTTTCATCACCTTGAATTTTTTTCTGTAATTATTTATTTTAATCGTAATAATAAAGCCAGCCCTGTTGACAAATTTCGTATACATAATCATGTTTACTTTTGCATATGTATTCATACTAATGTATACTAACCTATAGGTGTTCTCAAGCATTAATCGAGATATGATTTCATAGTGATCTAAATAGTGCACAAGTATTATGACGTAATTTTAGCTATTGCCATAACATTTTGGATAAAAGTCAATAAGGTCGCTCTTAAGCGTTAATTTCAATGTAATTAGCAAGTGATCGTAATAGTGCTCAAGCATAATTATATTTACAAAAAATTTTTGCCGAAAATTTGAATATGCAATTTATGACATAATTGAAATCTTCTCAAGCATCAATTTCAATATAATTAGTGAGTGATTGTGCTAGTGCTCATTTATTATGATCAATTAAAATAATCATTGAAGTTAATACTTGAGCAGTCCCCTATTGATTTCTATTATTTGTCAAATGTCGTCAAAAATTAAAATAAAAATAAAAATAAAAAAACAAAATAACTAAAAATAAAAAAAAACAAAAAAACTAAAAAAAAACAAAAAAACAAAAGCGTCTGTCTATCCAAAAGAAAGTAACAGATGTTACTGATTATTGAAATTCTAGTGAAGCAACTTCGGTAGTTTCTAGTACTCCATTCGCTGATTTCACCAACTATAATAACAGAATAGTTGAATTTGTTGCCATTTGAGCAAATGGTAAGTATTTGATATTCTCAATTTTTTTTTATTTTCCATAAAAACTTTTAATGCGAGAAGTAAAATAATAATTCGTTGCTGTCGAAAATGATGGTCCACGGCAAAGCTGCTTGAGTGATCTCTTTGAATTTTCTATTGATCGTAAAATTTTCAAGGCAGGTATAAAAAAAAGGAGGTCTGTTGTAAAAAGTTTGTTGATTAAAATAAAAAATTCATTTAATGTCTTTTACTAATAAAAAAATGGTTATTAGGTAATAAACTTTATTAATTTACGCATATTCATCGTAATGATAAACATGCTTAATTAATTTTAAATATTTTCCACTAAGTAAAATTTATTCCCAGACACTTTTTGACTCATTAATTGAAGTGCTTGCTTGAAAGCGACTTAATATGATGATGATATTATTGAGATATGCTCAAACATTGCTATTACCATGATTTTTTAATTATTGTAGTGATGCTCAATTGCAACGATAGTTCAAAATAAAGATGTTGAGAGTATTATAATAGTTTGTTGAAAATTTTACAAAAAAATACAAGTCGATAATAAAAATCCATAATAAAAGTATGAAAACACTTGAACAATTACTTTATTCATTTTAATATTTATAAAGTTTTGATAAATCAGAGCAAAAAAAAAGGTAGTTAGGGACAAAAAGTTTTTTGACTGAAATGGCAAACTCACGAATCATTTTTTACTATTTAAAATTTTTTTCACGTAATAAACTACCTTACTCATCTTAATGACAAGCTCGATTGATTGATTAAAATTATTTTCCGTTAATTAAAATTTAATTCTCGACACATTTTTGATTCATTAATTGAGGCGCTTAAGAACGCCCTATATATAATTGATAATTTTTATACTATTGGTTTTTATATCACCAAGTAGCTTTTCATGACCCAGCAACCTGGATTTTAACTTTTTTTTTAAATTTTTATTGTCTTACAACCCGGATACCTGGTAAATGTTAAAAATCTAACCTTTATTCTTTACAGCATTATACAGGCAAGGCTTCGAAGCCACATATAAGTTCAGTTATTTACAGACATCTAGTATAGATGGTGCTAAAGTATAGTATATACTGTAGCTGGTTGTACTTTTATTGTAATTGTAACATTCTCATTATCTAGTAAAATTTTACCATTTAAAAGGTCATCTTTAATACAAAAAAGAAAAAAAAAATTTTTACTAAATGATTCTATAATATTTGGCAAATTTTTATATAAAAAAATTTTTTAAATTTTTTAGAGTTTTTAATAAACATACTACTGGTAGTATAAATAGTAAAATTCTATTCATTAAACATAAAAATAATCTAGACATAACATTTAAAGATAGATAATTTGAATGTAAATATTGTATAAAACAAAATAGTTAAAATTCATTAAGTTATAGAAAATGGATTTTAAAATTAAAATCAGAAAATTTTATTTTATTCTCGATTTATTATTAAACATAAAAATAATTCAGACATAATATTTAAAGATAAATAAGTTGAGAAAGATTGATAATTATATGGAATCTCAGAATAAATATACAGTCAGGGCATCAGTGGCGCCACACTTTCGCTTGTATTAATTATAAAATCAATTAGTTAACTAATTGACTATTGCGGTTTGCTGATTTTTTTAACATTTTTTGCAGAAATAAAAGTTGTAGATTCATAATTTTGTAGCATAATTTGATTTAGTATATTTGTACGTAGAAATATATTTTGCATACTCTTCATGTTGTAAAGAATTTGATTAAATTTTGTTTCTTTTCTGGCCTGATAAAATTTATTATTGCATAATAAGCAAAAAGAAAATTTAAAAGCTGCACTGAATTCAATCTTATAAGAATTATTATATAATATTGATAAGGAACTTTAGTATATTAGAAGTTGACAAAAAAGACACTTTGTGCATCCAAAGGTGTTCCGGGATAATAATTTTAATTGTTAGAAATGAATTTTTTTAAAAAATGTATGCTAAATAAATATATATAAAACTTTATATAGTATAATATTAGCTGACATACATACGTTATCAAAAGTAATGTTAAAGAAATCGACAATCAGAAATCAGCAAATTTCACATTTTTTTGCAAACCACTTGTTAGTTAATTGATTAGTTGGTTAGTTGATTAATCGATTAGTTGGTCAATCGATTAATAGTTGGTTTATCGATTAGTTGTCAACTTGAACAACTAAACGATTTCAATTTGGATTACTAGTCCTATTCCGTCACTATGCTCTGGACAATAATTCATTGTTATTTTAATTCTGCGCAAGGATTTTGTATATTCTTTAGCATTTAAATGTTCTTTATGTAAATTTTAATGGTGGTAATTAATACGTAATCAAATGTACAGTACGTCAATTTTGTTGACTGTTTTGGTCATTATTAATATGTAAATTGTGAAAAATAGGTGGACTTAAAAGCTTTGATTAATTATAACTTTATTTTTAAACACCATTAAAATTTTACATGAAGAACCTTTATGCTAAAGAATAGACAAAATTCTTGCGCAGAATTAAAATAACAACTTCTTACCACTAAACAACGGCTGGGAAGCATATTTGGCAAATTTACATATAAAATTTTAGATGACCATAGTACAAAAATTTACATGTGTCCAGTGTTTATTTTTCACAGTGTGCGCATGTACATGCACTGTGCGGATCCAATCAAATTGCTTTATTTCAAAATTTGATTGGACCCGCACAGTGCGCGCATATGCGCACACTGTGAAAAATAAACACTGCATGTGATATATCATGTGACTAGGGGCATGGCAAATTTTTGGGGCATGCCCCAGAGGCATGCTCCAAAAATTTGCCGTGCCCCAACCCTACGTGTGACTGCTATGTGTAAACAATAAAACACGTATAAAAAGGCACATTAAATTTCTTCAAAATACAGTATTCAAACCTTTACCCTTACCTGAAGTTAAGAATAAAACCATAAGCAATAACAAAAAAGCAAATCCATTTGATAAAAAAATATGAGGCAAGTGAAAAAACCACGCGTGAAAACTCTAAATATATCAAGTAGACCAGTTGGATTTTTCTTGGCATCCCTCTATGAAACTGTATGAGAAGTTCTAATTCCTGCAAGAGGGAATTATCTTTATTGAACTACTAATTCTGCATAAGGATTAGTTACGTAAAATTCTTATATAGTGCTTTAGATGCCTCTGGTCTCTTTCTGACTAGCCACCTTGAAGATTTTCTGGTTGTCTTTAGATACATTTGAGGCGAAAGGCCTGATCTAATAGTGGTATAGAATGTATATGTATCTTTGACGTACAATTTTTACTGTTAAATGGGTGTTCGAATTACTTGGCTTGCTCTTTTTTTGAAAAAATCACATTTTTTCTTGGTTGGCGCCTTGAAGATCCTTTTTTGGTCGTTCTTTGGATATATTGAAGAGGCTCTTTAATAAGTCTTTTGATTTTTAAATAGTGTTTTCCTTGCTTAACCTTCCTTATTATTATTATTTAAGAATGCACATTGAATTAGAAAAGATATCTTATGTAGAGTTTTCCTCAAGCTAAAGTATACATCGACGATCCCAGTTATAGCGACGAAGAGATATTATCATTACGATACCAGAGATCACAGCAAAAAGTTTCGACAAACTATTAAAGTAAGTATAATATACAGTATAGTAAAAAAAAAATTTATTATTATTTACTCAATTTTAATTTATTTGATTTTTATATTGCAATAGATATTTATATAGTGGTCGGTTATCTCTGGAGGGTCTTCGGCCAGTAGAAATATTAGACCTTTACTACGCGGCTTTGAAACTTAAAATAGTAGAAATCAAAACATTCATTCTTTCTATCGTGCGTTAGGGTGTTCAATAAACTAATTGATCAAAACATAGTTAGGTTAGAGATGGGCAAATCGTAGAAATCGAAATATTCATTCTTTCTATCGTGCGTTAGGGTGTTCAATAAACTAATTGATCAAAACATAGTTAGGTTAGAGATGAGCAAATCGTAGAAATCGAAACATTCATTCTTTCTATCATGCGTTAGGCTGTTCAATAAACTAATTAATCAAAACATAGTTAGGTTAGAGATGGGCAAATCGTAGAAATCAAATCATTCATTCTTTCTATCATGCATTAGGCTGTTCAATAAACTAATTGATCAAAACATAGTTAGGTTAGAGATGGGCAAATCGTAGAAATCAAAACATTCATTCTTTCTATCGTGTGTTAGGCTGTTCAATAAACTAATTGATCAAAACATAGTTAGGTTAGAGATGGGCAAATTGTA